AAAAAATCTCTAATAAAATGACAATCCACCTCAATGTATTTGGTAAACTCATTAAATACCAGAATACTTCGGTGCAAATAACTGCTTGATTGTCACAATGCATATTCATAGGGTAAGACAAATCAAGGCCCATATCACGGAGTAAAGAATGGACCCCCATCTCACAAGTATGTCCCATAGCATGATACTCGGCTTCTATACTAGAACACGCAATCAAATTCTATTTCTTACTGTTCCAAGTAATTAGATTACCACCAACAAATATGCAATATCTATACATAGATTATCTATCACCATGACCATCTGCCTAATTTGCGTCATAAAAACCTATTAGAGTTATGCATGATAATGAACGTCGAGCAATATAATAAGCCATTTCCAGCACCAAAAGTACCTTCATTGAGTATCACTTTCTAAATCACCAAACTAACATCATCGCCTCCACAACATGCTACAATAGCTACTCACACAAACACTTCACCCCATAATTATCAAAATCGTACGATTCGAATCGAGAATCGTACGATTTGGTGTCATACATGTATAAAACGATTCTTTTCTTATATGATAATCGTTTTTATAGTTGAATCGCACTTGAATTGTACGATTTGATTTATATTGCATGAATCTCATGATTTAATTACTTTTTTTTAAAACCTAGATTTTTGGCAAAATAACGTTGTTGTGTCTACTAAACAGTAAAACGACGTTGTGTTGTTTGCTGAGAAACCCACACCCTAATAAAAACTCAGTCTCTTTGTTCGTTCTGTCACTCTCTCTCGTCGTCGTCTAAAGGTTACCTTGCGTTGTCTGAAGGGGCACGGTTAAAGTTCTCGCGTCATTGGTTGAAGGTATGCCTCCTGCTGCTCTTCTTCTTTCTTCATCTTCTTTTTCTTAGCAGTAAGCAAACCATAGCATGTCCTTTTTCTCTTTTTTTTTTACATTGAATTTTTCTATCTGCTGTCCCCATATTTCAGATTAAACTTTAATTTTTGCTCTCAATTCTTTCATGAGTAGTTTGTTAGGTTCCAATTTTTATTTCAAAGTGTTGCCATGTATGTTTTATCCCAATTAGGGTAGTGGTTGCTCTCGATGATGTCATGATTGTTGCTGATGACATCATCCTTCATTAGAATTTCGTCATGATAGAGGGTATTGTGTTTCTAAACATATTTAGGATCGAAAGATGCTCTAATACAAAGTTAAATTGTAAATTTGAGATTAGGGATTAGCAAGAGAGAGTAACAAAGAGAAAGAGAAAGGAGAGATTGAGAGAAATAATGTGTGTAAATTTAGGTTGCCCTACACTCTCTTATTTATAACTATGTAATATTAGAATAATTACAATATTATCCTACCCTTATGTCTAATATATAAAATTAGAACTCTTAACAATGAAAAACAACCATGTCATACGAGAATAATCATCAACAAAAATCACAAAATTATGAAATTAAGAAATATTTTTTATTGTTAAAGGACCCCAAATGTCAAAGTGAACAATAATAAAAAGACTAGACTGACTAGTTGTACTACTACTAGGAAAAGATCTACGGTGATACTTGCCTAATTGACAAGCCTCACATTCTAACATAATAGGACTCAAACTAAGAATGCCTTGATGAAGCTTTTGCAATAAAGGACAACCGAATCAAAAATGTCACCGAAAGGGAGACACGGTAGCACTCAAGACTGGAACAATTGCTCTGGAATCTAAATAGTAAAGTTCATGTTGCTCATGCCCCAAACCAATCACCTTATTTGTCAAAAGGGAAACTGAGGAACAAATAAACTAGATGTTAATGACATGGATTCGATAAGATGTAGATCACCAATCCCATGTACTAGTCTAAAAGTGTCATCAGCTAAAACAGTATGAGAGTTAAAAAAACAAAAATTAGAAAACAATGAGAAAATATTAGACATGTGGGTACTAGCTCCTGAATTAATGATCCAAGATGGTGAAGTGGCTTCTGTAGCTACATGTGTAAAATTACCAGCAGGTGCTGGACCGACACCTGAAGTAGGCGAATAAGGAGAGTGAGAATAATTACTGGATGTGCTAACTAAACTAAGAGGTGAGATCTTCATGAGAGCCAGATGTAGATGTAGAAGGTCCACTAGTCGATGACTAAGATACAGGAGTCAAATCATTAGAAACTTGATCAGCGTAGGCCAGTCTTCTATGTTTATCCTAATAATAATTTTTGATATGTCCAGCCGCTCCACAAAAAGAGTATTTTCACTCAGAACGATTGCCACGACCGGTGCCTCTACCACCACGATTACTGAGGCTAGATGATGATGGCCTCCACGACTACTATCACTATAGAGTAGAAGACAAGAATAAGTATTGGCAACCATTGGAAGTTTCTCACTAGACAAAATTTGGTCTTTGAACACACTATAGTCAGAATTAAGACTAGATAAGAATAGAGCAACCTGAAACACTTCAAGTTGTGGACGCTGCACTTCTAGATTCGCACTCAATGGTTGATAAAGTAGAAGTTTCTCCCATAACCCTTATAGAGTACCTTAATGCTCCGTCAAAGACTTACTCCCTTGTGGGTATTAAACATACATTCAAAAAGTTTGTAGATTCGGGACACATTATGTTCTTGTGAGTACATCTCTTTAAGGGAGTCCCAAATCTTTTTAGTTGTATCAAGAAGTTGAACATTCAAAGCTATACTAGGTTCCATACTATGCCATAACTAGGTCATCACCACGGAATTCTTACTCCATCAGTCTTCAAAATCATTGTTAGTCTCGGGAGCAAGATTTTCAATCAAATACTTGATTTTTTGTTTAGCACGCAAAAAACCTTTGATGGCATGAGACCAAGAATAATAGTTATTTCCGTTTAATTTCACAGAAGTAATGTGTCTAACCTGATCATTTATCGAGTAAACCTGTCAAATAGGATTGCCAACCGACGTATCCTTCACTTCCTCAGGAGTCATCATTGTACAATCCACAAATAACTAGACAATAAAGGAGAACCAACAAAAAAATATTCTCAAACAACCACAATCAGTAATTTGGCCAAAAAAATTAATACACGTCGATATCTAAACCATAACAACAACTTAATCACATGAATAGCCCTCAAAACACCAACACAGAGGTTAAGAAACAATAAAAAAGTGGGGGTGGATGAACAAATTTAGAGCATACCAAGTAGATTTGGAGAACAAGGGCCTAAAAAAAACCAAGCAGAGTACTCACTCAACAGATCTGGAGCAGATTTAGAACACCTAGGCCAAAAACACCACAAATTAGACCAGACGAACAGATTTGTAGCAGATCTATGTCAATGAAAGCCAACCCAGTGCAGGCAAAGACAAATTAGAGCAAGTCGAAGCCAGAAAGAGCAACTGTAGGCAAATTTGATCAGATCGAAGCAGATCAATACCTAAATAGTTTTGTCGGGACTTCAACTAGCCAAAAAATCCCTTTAACAACTCAATAATGGCTGGGCATCACAAAATACATCCATAGGTCTAACCGGCACCCCCAGATCTAGATCCAAGCAACAATTCAGCCGAAAAACTCCCAAATCAATAAATCTTAAAAATAGCATTTGATTTTTAAAAAATTATTCAAAAATAGGAAACTCAACTCAAACGATTCCAAAAAAAATATGCAAAAATCATCATAAAATTTCTTAATGAAAAATTGAGCAAAATTGGTGGTTCACTGGTCGTCAATTGATGATGTCGGTCGCTGATTGGTGACGTTAGGAACAGAGGACCCTTTAAAAAATTTCTTTGATTTCGGATGTTGTGTAATCTCGATTAATGCTTTGATACCATGTTGAATTAATAAAAACGATATTCGGGTTACAAGAATTAGGACAAGAAGAGATGAGGCAGAAGAAAGATAGAATAATATGTTGTGTATAGGTTTAGACTCACTTATTTATAACTGTGTAATATTAGAGTAATTACAATATTAACCTACACAAATTAGCTTATGTCTAATAACAAATTCAATTTTAGAATGTTCATAAATTTAGCCTTATCGCATGGACTTATGAAAACCTATGTTACCATCTATGAAGCATTGATACTTCATTAAGGCCGGCGTATCCGTATCGGATACGATATTCGTCAGATACTTGAGGATACGTATTGGATACACCTCTTATGTATCCGATAATAATTAAATATTAGGATATTTCACGGATACTTTTGTGTACAAGCAACATATATAATTTTTGAGTTGAATTTTTAAAATCTCATTTTGAATTCATATATCATACAATACATTAACAAAAATTCATACTGTATTATCTACAATTACATGTCAAAAGAGTATAAAATAAATCTATTACGTTATAGTCTGAACAAAAATTACTTCTAAATAAACCGACTCTATAAATATTAGTTTTGATTCATTTAATTAATCACTTCACTTTCTGAATATATCATAGTGATACGATATATATTTCTTTGAAACTAAAAAAATTTACTAATTTTCTTTATTGTGTTAAAGAACTACCAAAATATATAAGTATTAAGTTGGTTGAAAATAATAAAAATATTAAATATATTTTATTATAGCCGTATCTTGACCGTACTCATATCCTACTTTTTTAGATTTTTTCGTATCTTCGTATCCGTATCCGTATCCGTATCATATCGTACCCATATCTCGTATCTGTATCCGTGCTTCATAGGTTACTAGCTATAAACTGAGTAAATATCACCTGAATTTAATAAATGCCGTGCGAGAAAATAATATCATGTTATGTGTGAGGTTTTTGTGTTGGGATCTCTTGGAGCATTTGTGGTGGTGACGACAATAGTTTGGTGCTAGTGAAAGTGATATGTAATGGAGATGCTTAGCTTACATAAGAGGTGCTGGTGAAAGGGTGGTGATGCCAGCAGCGTGTGTAGATATGGATTGTGGTAGTGATGCTAAGTGTAACTAAGCTGATGGTGGTGGTGCAAGGATGACGTTCTGGTTGTGGTTGTGAATGTGTTCCAAGGATAGACATGGCAGTGGTGAAGGGCTAAAGCAATGCAGGAAGGGTGGTGATGGGACAGCTGGCAGCAGCTAGTGATGGTCGGTGGCAGCATAGACTGTGGTGTTTTTTTGTGATTGTAATGTGCCATACTGGGGCTGATGGAAGAAGTGGTGATGAGGAGTTGTGCCCGAAGGCAAGTACACAATTGATATGGTTATTAGACTAGCCCATTTTGTACAAACTCGACGCTTTTTAGTTAAGGTTCAAGGGTTTGGTTTAGGTGCGTTTCTTGTCCAACTTTAGGAATTTAGTACATCTAAAATTAGCCCCAATTTTCCTCTGTGCGGCTTAGTAACTTGATAGTAAACAGGAAGAAGAGGTGATGAGGTGTTGTGGAGTCAGACAGTAGGATAGTTTGGAGTTATGCCCCAAGGCAAGAACGTAATCTATTCTTTTATTAGACTTGCCCATTTAGTACAAACTTGATAGTTTTTATTTAAGGTTCAAGGGTTTGGTTTAGGTGGGCTTCATATCCAAGTTCAGGAATTGAGTAGATCTGAAATTAACACCAATTTTACTATGTGGCTCAGTAATATAATTGTAAACAGGAATTTTCAGGAGTAAAAGAGGATTTATTAGCTAACAGGTTCGAGTGGTNACTTTTTTAGATTTTTTCGTATCTTCGTATCCGTATCCGTATCCGTATCATATCGTACCCATATCTCGTATCTGTATCCGTGCTTCATAGGTTACTAGCTATAAACTGAGTAAATATCACCTGAATTTAATAAATGCCGTGCGAGAAAATAATATCATGTTATGTGTGAGGTTTTTGTGTTGGGATCTCTTGGAGCATTTGTGGTGGTGACGACAATAGTTTGGTGCTAGTGAAAGTGATATGTAATGGAGATGCTTAGCTTACATAAGAGGTGCTGGTGAAAGGGTGGTGATGCCAGCAGCGTGTGTAGATATGGATTGTGGTAGTGATGCTAAGTGTAACTAAGCTGATGGTGGTGGTGCAAGGATGACGTTCTGGTTGTGGTTGTGAATGTGTTCCAAGGATAGACATGGCAGTGGTGAAGGGCTAAAGCAATGCAGGAAGGGTGGTGATGGGACAGCTGGCAGCAGCTAGTGATGGTCGGTGGCAGCATAGACTGTGGTGTTTTTTTGTGATTGTAATGTGCCATACTGGGGCTGATGGAAGAAGTGGTGATGAGGAGTTGTGCCCGAAGGCAAGTACACAATTGATATGGTTATTAGACTAGCCCATTTTGTACAAACTCGACGCTTTTTAGTTAAGGTTCAAGGGTTTGGTTTAGGTGCGTTTCTTGTCCAACTTTAGGAATTTAGTACATCTAAAATTAGCCCCAATTTTCCTCTGTGCGGCTTAGTAACTTGATAGTAAACAGGAAGAAGAGGTGATGAGGTGTTGTGGAGTCAGACAGTAGGATAGTTTGGAGTTATGCCCCAAGGCAAGAACGTAATCTATTCTTTTATTAGACTTGCCCATTTAGTACAAACTTGATAGTTTTTATTTAAGGTTCAAGGGTTTGGTTTAGGTGGGCTTCATATCCAAGTTCAGGAATTGAGTAGATCTGAAATTAACACCAATTTTACTATGTGGCTCAGTAATATAATTGTAAACAGGAATTTTCAGGAGTAAAAGAGGATTTATTAGCTAACAGGTTCGAGTGGTTGTCAATAAGTGTGCTTGCTTGCTTATGCTTTAAAGTGTCTGTTTTTATGGGGCATTGTTCGAGGTCACTAAATCATAAATGTGCGACAGAGTTTACCAAAGCTAGCAAAAAATCTGATTTTTTTTTCTCAAGACTTTTTTGTTTTTTAAAAGCAACGGTCATTTGGTTTTGAAATTACTCGTCTTTCTTCTCTGTTAGTATAATGTTTAAATTTTGCAACTTAATATGAGTTGCACTATATGTCATGGTTGAGTGATTATTTACACATACCCCTGGCTTATACTTATAAATATTTTTGCAGACCAAGCAGTTCTGAGCAGACCCTGCCCAATCATAGGTATTCTGATTTTTTTGAATCATTTCAGTCACTGAAGAAATGTTCTCCCCAGCATAAGGTCTCCCCGGCCATGAGTAATTTACAGGGCTATTATGGTATTAAGCCAATAGATCAGAAAGCTACATCTGAAGGCTGTGAAATGGCTGTCTACTGGAAAGGAGGTTCTCATTATTTGGAAGATGGACTATTTGCCAAACTGTCACCTATTTCTAACCCACCTCTGAGTCATCATAGAAAATCTAAAAGCTTAGCAAATGGTTTCATGTCGGAGAATGGGGATGTGGCTAATGATGTGTCAGTTTCAGAAGCTCGAGAAGATGACTCTGAAAAATGGATTGAGAAGTTGGTAAGAAGGCGCCAGAAATCTGAAACTGACTTTGGTTCCCACACCCCCGAAATGTTGCTGAAGGAGGACAATGGTGGTAGTGGCAGTGGATTTTTGGCAATTACAGGTAAAGGTTTGGCTTTGAGACCGAAGGCAGCTGGCAGAATTGGCACAGCTGAACCTGAAGCAGGCTGGCAGAACCCTCTTCCAATTGGTTTAGGGGATTCATTTGTGGCTGAGAGTTTTAATGGAGTGAGGAAGTCATCAAGTACATCAAGTTTGCAGGATTCTGAGAGTAGCACATCTTCATCCATCTGGCCAGCATCAAAGTGGAATTTGAAGTCTGATCTGCAGGCCCTTTCTTCTGCAGCCATTACAAGACCAATCTTTGATGGCTTGCCAAACCCAATAACTGGTCGAAGAAACAAAGCTGCTCTTGACTAGGAAAATTCATTCAATAATTCAGCTATTGATTTTGCTTCTTATGTGTCAAGCTATCATTTTTCAAGGGGAGATGGGAAATTGGACAGAAGAGTGGGAAATAGCACGCTTTATTGGTCTTTTGGATGATATATCATATGCTACTTTTGGCTGAATTACATTATATATTTACTTAAAGGAGTTGCAATTCAAGCACGAAGTGGAAGTTGGAAGCAGCAGAAGTCATTGTTGAATGCATCTTGTCATACAACTAGTGTTTTTTTTTTTGGCAAAGCTGATGCACCTTGGACCTTGTAGAGAATGTATATTTAGGTCTGTTTATTTAAGAAGGGGTGAGAAAGGATGTTGCCTATCAAGTGTTGTCAAGTTTTATTCTGGTTCATATTGTTTCTTTCTTCTTTCTTTTAATTATTTTCAATTGTGTGTTGTTCAAAAATAATATGTGACCTTCAAGTTATGGGTTAAAGTGTAACGGTTAATCTTGCTGTTGAAACAAACAGTCACACATGTAAAGTAAAAAGTTTGACTAAAAATGATGAGGCCAAACCATCTATTTACTTTCCCAGAAAGTATTTTTATTTCTTTTTTATGAATGTCAACAATTTTAATTAATTGTCGAAATCAATAAAAGCGGACTAAAAATAGACGGTTGCTGTAGCTGTAGTTTAGGAATATCAGGACAGTTTCTGACCTGTAGATCTCCAATAATTGCCGGGTGACCTTGTTAGATGCCATTCATTCAAAATTGGCAGGAAATTTGTCAAAGTTATCGGGCATGCATCGTTTGTCAAGATTTTCAACATTGTTGGCACGCTGTCTAACGAAGTGTTGTTACTATAGTTTGTTCTCAGGATACTAGACTTCATTTTTCAGGCACTTGACATTTTCACTGACGTGTGCTCTAGCCGCTAATTGCATGACCAATTGAAAAAAGGGGTAAAAAACTAACTGCGTCTGAGCTCTCGCTCAAATTCCTGAAATTTGTAATGAGCAGTTACGTATGATGTCTGCTTTGCCGCGCTTCCCTTATTGGACAAGCAAATTAAGAAAATTTGAATGAATTATATTTGTTGTGCCGATCGAAACATGAATAAGATCAAAAAAGTCATCATTAGAGCAAACAATACAATTGCTTCAGTGAATCCGGACCATCCAAAAGAAAGCCATTTTCGAAATTCCTACTTTCGAAGTCGAAGTCCATCAAACTTGGTGTTAGAATAAGAAAGTGTACATATGATAACCTACTTTACAGCATAAGAAGCCCCAAAGAAAGGCTATTAGTCTGGCCTCATCTGGATGTGGGATTTGGTAGTTAAATTTCTGTCCGATGTACCTTGAAGTCAAGGGATTTGAATCTATGCCGTCTGGCGCCTCTTCCAAGTGGGTGGCTAGGATGACTATAGGCGGAATAAGCGGTAAATGAGATAAAAAAAAATTGAACCTCATTCATCTAATAACTGTCTGTAAAACAAATTCAACGGTTAGATGGCACTTAACAAAANAGGTCTGTTTATTTAAGAAGGGGTGAGAAAGGATGTTGCCTATCAAGTGTTGTCAAGTTTTATTCTGGTTCATATTGTTTCTTTCTTCTTTCTTTTAATTATTTTCAATTGTGTGTTGTTCAAAAATAATATGTGACCTTCAAGTTATGGGTTAAAGTGTAACGGTTAATCTTGCTGTTGAAACAAACAGTCACACATGTAAAGTAAAAAGTTTGACTAAAAATGATGAGGCCAAACCATCTATTTACTTTCCCAGAAAGTATTTTTATTTCTTTTTTATGAATGTCAACAATTTTAATTAATTGTCGAAATCAATAAAAGCGGACTAAAAATAGACGGTTGCTGTAGCTGTAGTTTAGGAATATCAGGACAGTTTCTGACCTGTAGATCTCCAATAATTGCCGGGTGACCTTGTTAGATGCCATTCATTCAAAATTGGCAGGAAATTTGTCAAAGTTATCGGGCATGCATCGTTTGTCAAGATTTTCAACATTGTTGGCACGCTGTCTAACGAAGTGTTGTTACTATAGTTTGTTCTCAGGATACTAGACTTCATTTTTCAGGCACTTGACATTTTCACTGACGTGTGCTCTAGCCGCTAATTGCATGACCAATTGAAAAAAGGGGTAAAAAACTAACTGCGTCTGAGCTCTCGCTCAAATTCCTGAAATTTGTAATGAGCAGTTACGTATGATGTCTGCTTTGCCGCGCTTCCCTTATTGGACAAGCAAATTAAGAAAATTTGAATGAATTATATTTGTTGTGCCGATCGAAACATGAATAAGATCAAAAAAGTCATCATTAGAGCAAACAATACAATTGCTTCAGTGAATCCGGACCATCCAAAAGAAAGCCATTTTCGAAATTCCTACTTTCGAAGTCGAAGTCCATCAAACTTGGTGTTAGAATAAGAAAGTGTACATATGATAACCTACTTTACAGCATAAGAAGCCCCAAAGAAAGGCTATTAGTCTGGCCTCATCTGGATGTGGGATTTGGTAGTTAAATTTCTGTCCGATGTACCTTGAAGTCAAGGGATTTGAATCTATGCCGTCTGGCGCCTCTTCCAAGTGGGTGGCTAGGATGACTATAGGCGGAATAAGCGGTAAATGAGATAAAAAAAAATTGAACCTCATTCATCTAATAACTGTCTGTAAAACAAATTCAACGGTTAGATGGCACTTAACAAAAATCTCCTCAAGTCGACTTATATGTCTATTTATTATAAATAGAATTCAAAAGACCGTAGAAAAGAATTTGATGAGGAGTTCCTTTGGAGGCAAGTGGGGTGCTCGCTTGATCGGTGAGTTGGTCATCAGATTTCGTCACTCACGGTATGGGTTTGGGTGCCATCGATCCATTTCTATCCTTTTTCTACAATAGAAAACCAATGGAGGGATCAATACTAGTCATTGTTTAATGTGGAGGAGATTGAAAAATATTAGGTAAAAATGGAGACGTTAACCTCTTGTTTTATCAGTATTTCGGAAACCAATCTTTTAAAAGTCTATAAAAGTTAAAGAGTTAAAACCACTTGGCGTAGGAGTTAAAAATACGAAAGACCTGGGTAACTTGGCTTAACTTCTACTTGGAAGTGAAATTTTCGCAATCTATTATCTTATAATTTTACTTGATTGCATTCCGATTGGAGTAACAATTTTTACCCATCACCTTTTACTCCGCACATTTTGCCTATAAATTAATGGTTTGGATACTTATGCTAATTAATATGAATATTTAATAATTTGAACAATAACACTCAATTTAATTAAGCAAGTTAAAATAGATTACAAATGGACAGCCATTGAATACTTATCTTTTTATTAAATAATTAAAATAAGAAAAAATTACACTCAAACACATTGAAGTTTATCACTTAATCAATTAGACCTCTTAATAATTAAATTATTACATATAGACCTCCTGGTCCTTGTATGCGTGTAACACTTAGACTCTTGCCGTCAATGTTCATTAGTATATCTATTAATAAGTAACACCCAGACTTCCTGTCGTCAATGTTCGTTAGTATATCTATTAATAACTTATACCCAGATCCCTTAAAGTTTATAGGCGTGTAACACTTAAACCTCTCAAATTTGAAATATTATACTTAGACTCATATTAGTTACGAAACTAACCGAATCTATAAAACAATCAAATAGCTCAAATTAAAGATATAAGATATTATCTCCATTACAGTTTGACCCATTGTTTAGTTTTTCAATTTTATTCCAATTGACATTATAATTATATGTAAATGAGTGTTGAATTAAGTTTTTTGACATATTTATATTGATTACTATTTTTCCTTAAAAAATTGAGATTTTGTTTGGTTTTTATATTAATAGATGATATAATGGAACATGCAAATTTGTTGATTAGATTTATTTCATATGTTCATATTTGATGATGGAAAAATTGACTTAAGGTGAAAAGTCCATTTAGTCCAAGTCCAATCCATCATGTCAAGAGTTCTAATTTGAATGGGATTCTACATATCATAGATAAGCTACATTTAACTGCACGGATAATATCAAACCAGCAAATAAAGATAAGGATCTAATCCATATCTTTTTATGATTGACTATATTTTTAATCATTATCCCTACGCAAATTCAAATTGTCGGAACTACTATAAATAGAGCTCCATTTAGGGGTGTTAATTCGTGTTGTATCATGTCACCCGCGTGTCATGTATTTTTGTATCATGTTATTGTTATTTGTGTCAACACTCACGAAAAAAAATCTATTTAATGTGTTCTGGATGTCAAACATTAGTCTAGATCATTTATTATACATATTTAATAATTGTATCAATTTTATAATCGTATCGTGTTTGGTTCGTGTTGGGTTCGTATTAATAGGTCAGAGTTGACACCCCGTAACTTCATTGATGTTACAGGTATGCCACTCCTACCTTCTAAATGCAGTTCATACATTTGAATCACTTACTGACATAGGCATCGAAGAATCGACTTCTTAGGGCTTCCCTCCGAACTCCAACTTCTTTTTCTGGTGCTCAAAGCCAACAAACTGACATGGAGGTAGTCTAAAATTTGACATCGACAGTACTAATTATGACTTATTTTTGATTTGATTTCAATAAATGACATAACAGAATATAAATTTTAGTTGTAAAATTTGAATTATTTAATATTTCACTTTTAATTGAATTATTTTTAGTTTAAATGTAATATTTTAAACTTGAGGGGTCTAAGTGTTACAGACATCAAATTTTAGGGGTCTGAATGTAATTTATTAATAGATATACTAACGGACATTAACACACCTTAGGAGGTCTAGACGTAAGTTTTCTTTAAAATAATAAATCCAAAAACACAAATTATTACACTAAAAAAAATATACACTAATACACAAAAAAGTACACATGCACATTAATACACCAAAATAAACAAAAACTAATACATCATAACACACACAGACACACTAATATACCAAAAATCACACTAATACACCAAAGAAAATACACGAAAAAAGGTG